AGAGTCTTATCTTTTGCGAGATTCCGTCCGTTAAGGGACTCTCGTGCTGCGTATACTTGTATTTTGTAGTATACCTTGTTTGCAGCAGTATTCCTATAGTTACTGTAAAAGTATTGTAACTCTGTTAATGGTTGCACCGTTGTGTTTTGTCTGTAACGCCTAATGTTCCAATCTAACATCTTTAGTTTCCATATGTTTCCGAATTTATCATACGACTCGAGTAAATTTGATCCTCGAAATACCAGCTCCATACGTACATCTCTTTCTCAGTAAACATCTTTTAGCGAAGCCGTCATATCAGAACACCGAGGTACTCGTGCAAGAAGTACCTTATAGTTCTTTTCCTTTCCGAAGGAATCCCCACAGTATTACTTGTGCAATACGTCAAGTTCAATTCCATGATTCATACGGTAGATCTATCACTGAAGCATGTATACATGAGAGTGATATATAATCAATGTTCTACAGGTTTAGAATTGATGATTCCACTTTAACTTCTTATCCCTCGATCGTTTGTGAGATTAAGGAAGAATCAGTTATTTGACTATCTTTTCAACCTTAATTATATACGACTCGTATACACAAAATTGTGATCATTGAACCATGTATGAATTAATATGAACTTCAGGACGGAGTCTGTCCAAGAGTACGAGTAAATTGCATTGGCGTAGGAACAAACTTAGAACCCAATATCACTCTTATAACCATATCGCCTTACAGTCTAAACACCTACGGAAGATACAAGAACAGCGTGGACAGCACAACAAACTACTCAACAATAGAATTAGAAGACCAAGCTTCTCACCCTTGAGAGCTCCGATCGTATTCTTACCAGAAGTCGACGGAGTGCATCATATGTACCTCGACGACCGAAGACTTCATTCAGATTTCCTTTAGAAATTGTTGTCTCTGCCTCGCTTAGATGAGTTGATTGAGAAAACATAGGGAAAGAGTTACTTTCAGAAATGGACCTGAGATTCGAATATCACCAGTTCAAGTGATACGGAAGGATGTCCTGAAGACTATCCTCTAAACTCGATGCGGACATTTCAAGTCCGTAGTGATACCCCTCGGATAGGACCAATACGCCCACAATATTCATGAGCTAAATGAGTGGAGTACGTCTTTCTTACTGGGATCAGTTCGTCATTTCTCCATGAAATGACTTACTTATCTACCCTCGTAGTAAGAAATAACCCATGGAAACATTACACTCGGAGATACTTTTCGCAAAGTTCTCTGAACATGAGTTTTGGAATTAAGAGTCAGATTTCCTAAGACACATTATTAGTGATGTGGAAATTCTTGAGTACTTTGGCAAGTTATCCAAAACCGTTGGTAATTTGTCGGCACCGTAGTCACCGACGGGAAAATTCTCCAAATACTAGGTCTTACAGACCTACTATCATAGTCCAACCAGAAATCCTCGCAAATTTCAGAAACCCTTTTGACTTTGACCTAGCGAGGGGTGGCCCTTGACTGGGAAGTTAAGCAATAGAAAGAACCTTTGGAATACCAAGTGAGAGACCAAATTCTTTAAGAAACCTCACTCTGAGAATGGCTTAAATACGCTTCGTAAGGCGTGGAAAGCTAAATCCAATATAGTTAGGACCTCCGAGATTCCTACCAAAATCGGTCATGCATCTCACCGACTACATCTACTCCGCGAACTCAGTAACGTACATGTTACCCTTCGCATCTCAATTTTTAAACAATACCTTTCCATTAGGACTCTCGTAAGCCCACTCGAAGAAATCGAGATTAACGACATCCTCGCCTTCGTATTAGAACCGTTGTGATGCTCAACCGAGTGGTCAAGCGGACGAAGCAGCGCCATCGCCCGTTAGTGAGGTTCGTTGGGCTACCAACCTAGAACCCAATTTCACTTAGGAGCGCGAGAACCAATCGATTAGGAAGTTCACATAACGACTCGATCTTTCGTACCTACTTCCTTACCTAAATTCTAATTTCAGGACGAAATTCCCTTTAACATGGGGATGATGTGACAACCCGAAATTTCCATTTGGAACAAACAATATCACTTCAATATAAGTTATAACAGTCACAGTAAATTTTCAGACTTTTCGGATAAGTTTGAATAATTCAGGGTTTAAACTTTAGGAAATATCAGGAGAGTGGATGCACTAGGGTTTCGTGCAACACTGTTATTCCAACACTCTGTTATATTAGAAATCATTTCGGGAATAAAAATATTTTCTGCCAAAAATATCTCAGGACTATAAATAGAATTCTTAACTAATTTCATTCATTATTCGCATTTTCAACTAGAGAAAAGCCATTTTCTCTCTCATGGATCTTTGGGTTTTTATACCAAAACCTGAGTAACTCTCTCTAGTAGTGTTAGAAAGCTTATTATGTGTTTATAACATGAATTAGATAAATAAATAACTAGATTTAGGAGTTTACTCCCCAAGGTGTTCTTGGGCGGTAAACTCCTGAAACAAAGCCTAGCCTTTCCCCCATGATATGAAATTACCTTGGACTCATATATAGGTGTATTTGGGACATGAAAACAACCAAGAATCACCAAGTTTTGGGTGTTCACGGCCCAAGAAGATCTTCGACCGTGAACTCGAAAATCATGGACCAAAGTGTGTTTTTAAGACACCTAAAGCCTTGGACATTTACATGGAATTTTTCCCACTTAAATCAAGGACTAAAGCACATCAAAAACCCATCTTTTTGGGAGATTACGGCCCTAATAAAGATCTTGGGCCGTAAACATGAAAGAAGGGAACCAAAGTGGGCCTAAGGCCTTCATATGCTTGAGATGAAAGTCTAAGACCTATACTACATGTACATGAGAGTTGAAAGCATCAAAAACACCATTCCAGGGGATTTTATGGCAGTAAACTCCAAAGGAAATGGACTTAGGGCCGTAAACTCCTCAAAGGAGTGAAATTATGCCCTAAACACTTACAAGAATTAACCCACAAAGATGGAATGCTTCTAGGGATCATTTAACACCTCAAAACAACCAAGGACATTAAGTCTTGGAGTTTACGGCCGTAAACTCAAGAGTTTACAACCGTAAACTCCATGTGTGAGGTTATATGGAGATTAAACTCAAGTATGGGTTCCTTTGGAACCCTAAACCCAAGTACCTTGTCCCATAATAACTTAGATGCAATCCTTAGGGCTTATAACACTTATATAAAGTGTTTATTATGTTCTAGGATGTCTTAACATTATCAATTAGTAATTTAAGACAAATTGAGTGCATATATGTGTGATTATATGCTCATTAGGATCATAGTGTGTGTACAAGTCCTCACTTGACACCTAACAATCCTACACCGCCCAGTTCATCCAAACCACCATCTACAGGTGAGTTCATACCCCTAATCAATGTTTTAAATGATTTTAAACGCTTTAAATGGGGGGGGGAATACAAGTAGAAAACAACATGTTATTAAATCATTTATATGTATTTTATAACTGTGTTTGAAATCAGCAGATTTCACATACTACAAAATGTGATGCATGAAATGGTTTTAAATCTTAAAAAAGCTTTGTTATCAAATGTATTACTTTTGAAATGTTTATTAAAATGACATCCAGTCATTGTTAATTATTTTTCAAAATTCTTAGATGTCCTACAAAACCATTTTTACCTTCTTGAACCAAACTATACTTATACGCATATGTTCATATATATGTTAGAGATTATAGTTTTCACCCTTCATTTAGTTTCCAACACTCTTGGGTAGTAAGAGTGTATAAACCAACTTGAACAACCAATCACCTTTCAGTTAACTATCATAAGGATAGTTAGAAGATATCAAACATTATTCTTATTACAAGGAATCACACAAGAGTCAGTTTATTCATGAGTCTTTACTAGTACATTATCTGATACATGAGTACCTTTACATATGCTTACATGATACATGAATCCGCTTACACGAACACATTACATGAATACCTTTACGTAGATACAATTACCTGTGTATACTTACACGAATACTTGAACCTCGGTTCATGAGGATGATTTATTAGTACTTTCTGTGTAAAATATCTTTCCTATCCCGGTTCAATGGGATATCTAGGTGGGACTAACCATTCCGAATCCCACTGATTAGCACCAGTGGTAGATGACCATCTACAGAGGTCTAAGGTTACTATTTATATTAGGTACATCGATATCAAGACTAACCCTTCCACCCACCTGCTGCTACAGACTACAAGTGGACAATCTTCTGATGTTCATTAGGTTATACTTTTCGCTTATTGCGATGTTGTGTTACTCCTAGTACCCAGTGATAACACTTACATTAATACTTTTTTCTAGACAATCTTCGGATGTTCATTAGGTTATACTTTTCGCTTATTACGATGTTGTGTTACTCCTAGTACCCAGTGATAACACTTACATTAATACTTTTTCTGGACAATCTTCGGATGTTCATTAGGTTATACTTTTCTCTTATTGCGATATTGTGTTACTCCTAGTACCCAGTGATAACATTTACATTAATACTTTTTCTGGACAATCTTCGGATGTTCATTAGGTTATACTTTTCGCTTATTGCGGTGTTGTGTTAGTCCTAGTACCCAGTGACAACACTTACATTAGTTCTTTTTCCTGTTTACTTTATTTTTTGCTACTTTCACATAAACGAGGAGTTAGACTAAGTACTTTAGTACTAGTCAATAGAAAGGAAAAAACTATCATTTTACTTACAAAACACTTAAGTCTTGGTAGAAGACTATCATATACTCTTTCCTGTTTACTTTATTTTGTGATACTTTCACATAAACGATGAGTTAGACTAAGTACTTTAGTACTAGTCAATAGAAGGAAAAACTATCAGTCAACGAAAACAAGTTATTGTTAGTGTCCTATGAGAAAATTTAGCATAGTAGTGAATTTATCTACTTGACATGGAAAAGTAATAAATGGAGATAAGTTACCGTTAGCATCCTATGAAATCGTTGTGGATAGCTACAACAAATGCCAAACGATTCAATATTGCTATACGATAAGTCAAGAACAGCCAAATTCTCCATTGGTAAGTCCAATGGTATATAATTCAAAGGGAACCCATGCATACACAACCATCTTAATTTCTTCTGGAAAATTCTTGTAAGAGCCAATTATTTGCACATAATTGAGTTGTAGAAGCATTAGCCTATCCATCTTACTCAATGCATCTGTTTTCAACTCAAGTGATCCATGTAACTTCTCTTTCACAAGCATTCTCATGTCAAGGGTGAGGCCTAGAACATTTTCTGTACCCTAAAAAGAAAGGGGTATGCAAAAATATTTTAGAATGTCATAGCCATATATATAAAAATACAAGATGATTAGAACAAATATACATGACCTATTACCTTTTTTGTTTCAACGCTTTGAATGTCTCCTCATGACACCATAATCTACTTCGTTCCCTAAGCTTGTAAGGTGATTCTTCACATATTAAGAATCTACACATCTCTTGAACCAACTAATACATCATCAATTCATTATTCCTTCTGTAACTAAGATTTGTGATCCTAGATCTGGTTTCTATATCACATGCCTATCATATTGTTTCGGAAACATCTTTATCCATTCCAACAAAAAAAACAAGCGATATGCTTAAACAAGTCCTTATCATTTTTTAATGGCAAAGAGTTAAAGCTCATTCTCAATGCATTACTTACGGGGGGAACGTTTTCTTTCTTTAGTTCATCTATGTACCCCTCCCAATAAGTTACGTCACGATTGTGTATAGAGACCTACCCAAAACTTTAAGAGCCATTGGATGTCCTTCACAATAATTTACTAGCTTTTCTGACACCTCTTTGTAACCTACCTTGGGATGATTGCACATAAATGCATGATAACACAACATTTTTTTTGATCCAATCATAGATAAGCCTTCAAGATTGTGCTCCACATACTTGGGTTTAATGTTCTTTTTGAAAAGTGCACAACTCTTTGTCAACCATGCATTTTTTGTTCTTATCATGATTTTAGTTCTGGGATGAAAACCTTTGCTTCCAAGTAATGCATCTATTTGGTCAAGACTACCAATATCATCTAGAACTAGAAACACTCTTTTATGAGCTACTGCATTCTCTATCATTGAGGTGTATGTAGAAACATCATGAACTTGAACTGAACTTTGTTTTAAAATGTCATCATAGAATTGTTTCTGTACATCAAGAATCCCATTAAATTTTTCATCACATCTCCCAGTGATATTTTCAATGAAACTGCTTGTGTTAAATTTATGAAAATGTAATGCATAGACATATTTGGCTAAAGACGTCTTCCCCATCCCACCCAGACCCAATATAGTGAGTAGATTTGTCGTATGTGAAGATGCATCTTTCAACCATGATGTGACAAATTTACTAGAATTTTCCGTCCCAATAAGTTGTGGCAGTGGAATCCTTGAGGGTTTTCGTAATTTACGGAAGATGTCGTTAACAATTTTATCAATAAGCTCCACCTCTATCCTGGAATTTGATTTTAGTAAGAACCAAAAGAGACAATCCAAAAAACTAACATAATGCCATATTGGAGATTTAAATATCCAAATCAAAATCATAGCGTATTAAGCTATTCTTTAATTAAGTTTTTAAAATCATAAAGATTATCGTATTTGCACTTGTAACCATATAAGCCCATAATGTGCAAAGTCATAATTATTATCTGTAATAAGACAAGAGCCACCAATGTAATTGAAGATTTCGTTAACGGGCCACCAAAATTTCAGTGTTTCTTCAAAACCACCAAACTTAAATATCGATGTAGTATTGCATGAATCATAACAAAATGTAGTCAATAGTTATAACTTAGCCTTTAGTACTTACAAGAACATTTATTTATCATAATAACATATTAAAAATAGTAAAAGAAAAATAAAAGCATTCAAAATTTCGTTTATTAATTGATAGCATATAAAAATCACTAAAATGGATTATAAATGAATTTATATGTGATAAATAATAAATGCATAAGAAATGTGTTAAAATTAGCAAAATGGTTAACCCGCCTATATGAATTAACTTATGTAGTCACATAATTGCAAAGATTAGAATCAAATTCAAGCATTTCTTTAAGATTTATCCAAATTTAAACACATCAAAAAATATAACTATTAGATGATTATGAAGAAACATATTGAAATGCATAAGGAAAAGATGCTATAGAGTTTCATGCACTAATTTATCAATATAAACGGAGTAAGGAAATATGGGTTAGAAAGTAGTTACCTGCCATTTGCATGCATCCCTTTTAAATCAGCAACTTCTATAAGTGTCTTATTCCATCTGTCCATCTTTTGAGCCCATTAACTTCTTTTATTTTCATATGTCTCTGCCGCCATCTTTTGTCTATGCTTATCCATTGCATCTCCAAAGCTACTTTGTTGTTTCCTGACATGGGTGGGCTCCACATGATAAAAGATGGGAATTACAATTTGTTTGGATGGCCTACGTTTGTCAACGATCAACACCAGTTCATCAAGACACCATGTGGAAGCAGCATAGTTCCTGGACAACACTATAACAGAAGCCTTGGATGATTTAAGTGCACTCTCCAATTCTGGTTTCAAATCTACCCCTATTTCAATCTCTTCATCATCTAAGAAGGTAGTGATGTTGGCATGAATGAGAGCATTACAAAGGTGATTAGTCAAACTATTACGAGTGTCAACACCTCTGAAACTTAAAAGTACATCATATCCACGACCATGAGTTAATGAAGAAGATGAAGATCCTTCTGAAATCTCATGGAATTCAACCATTATGAGTAATGGGTTGAGGAGCCTTCACCCTTCCCTACAACCACTGAAACCCAGTTACCTCCAGACATCATCAAAAAGTAAATAGTGTGTTTTGAAGCTTTTAGATCCCACACTTTCCTTACTTGTGCCTCAATCTCAAGATCCCATATTGTAGTGACATAAGAACATGATTTGGCATGCAGCATTACAGATTGCACAATGAACATGGTGATTTGGGTGTTCAAGAGATGTATTGATTGTATATGGTGTTACACAAAAAGGATCTAGATCTAGACTACATAAATAACACACACTTACACACTCAACTTTTACATCTCTCAAGCACACCTCTGCAAGTGGTATGAACCCACCTTATATAGAGGTGTTTACATGTCTCTCTCTCACTCTCTATCTCTCATGTGTCACAAGGCTAATACTCCACATGAAAGCGGGTTTTACAAAAGTCAAACATTACAAAGTCATTCATGGAAAACTTTGCACCCTAACATTCTCCCCCTCAAAGTTAGGAATGAATGACCCACTTCAATTCTTCCAAAATTGAGCAACTACGCGATCCGAGCCTCAAGGGTAACACATGTCAAAAAAAACTTCAATCTTCTATTCTTCCATGATTCTTCAATTTGGGCTCCAGGATGTGAGACCATACAAACCGAGCATCAACGAATGATCATGAGCATCTCAAACTCCAAATTGATCACCAAAAGTTGAGCACAAAAGCACAGCCCAAAAATCTTCAATTATTCCAAACCCATTTCAAAAATAAATTATTTACGAACTTCCAATTGCATCATTTCGTAAGCTTCAAAACTTCAAGATCACTTCGGTCTTCAAATCCGCGTAATATGAAAAATTCAAGTTCGAATTTCCATATAAATTTCTCCCCCTTTTTATCATCGAAACTTGATTATAAATCGTCAAGGAAATAGAATGTGCTCCATTCGAAATTTTTCTTGCCAAAACTCCCCCTTAACATGTGGCATAAACTTTGTGCTTCAATCCGAAAAATCAAAAAATCTTCAATTTTTAGCTTTGTTCACGGACTGCCTTTGACAAAATTTCTCAAAAATGGGTAGAAATTGTCAATTTCAAAATTCTACAGTGACCCGGTGCTCCCAAAACAACCAAAAATGCAAAACTCTCCCCGTTTTCGAAAGGTGGGTAGAAAGTGTCAAATTACGTAAACTGTAGGGGATTGAAATGCATATTCTTCAATTTTCATCAAAATCTATCCTTTTTCGAATTTGGGTATGAACTGCCAAATGTTCAAAACCTCAGGGACTATTTTCGAAAGTTAAGCCTTTTGTTCTCTAAACATACATAGATTACCCCAAAATGTCAAAGTTGCCAAACATTCGAAAGGTTAGGGGCTGTTTTCGAAACTTTCTCCTTTTTCTTTACAAATCATAGGAAATGTTTTTACCAAAAATACGAAGGGTTTGTCTCAATATTCGAAGGATTATTAATGATGTTAATCTTTCGTAAGTTTAGGATCCATTTTCGTAACATTTACACTCTTTTTCAAAACACATAAATTTTAACCCTTCGTGTGAAATCTTATCCACCCTTCATACGAAATCTTTCTCCACCCTTCGTACGAAACTTCATCTTCCCCAATCAAATGAAAAAATTCACAACAACGTACGAAATTTCATCTCTTCTACGAAATCTTTTTCACTTCGTATGTTTTACACAAACGGCACCATTTGAATCTTTATTCCCAGTGCTTGATTTAAATTCTTCGTTCTTAACACAGATAACATATCAAAATCAATTTTGAGTTTTAATTCTTCGTTCCCAGATCGATTGCTTCGTACATTCATCAAACAACTTCAATGAAGATCAAAAATCCAGACATCGAGTCTTCGTACAAAACACCAAAAACATGAATTTGACTTATCAACTTCAAATTGAGTCAACTTCAAATCGATCAGATAACGAAGCCCTAACAGCCAAACCAAAATCATCGATCATCATTCTTCAATCAATCATGCTTTGACTTTCGTTTTTCCTCCATCCAAACCACCGATTCATCTCATTTGATCCTTGACATCGATAGCTTAAAATTATTCGAAATCGTTTAGACTCCAGTTCGTCACTTGTCACTCGACATCGATTTCAAATCAAAAATCAATCTGCTCAAAATATCTAATTCAACGTATCAAGTAACAAAATCGACTTTGATTCCTTTTTACTTGTGTTTGACTTTTCCTTCACAAATCGACCATTTTAAAATCGATTGCATATGCTGATAAACATCAAACCCATTTTTCTTCTATCAACAACATCATATTCATCCAAATCAAAAATCCAATCTTCGATTTCTCAAATATAGCTCTAATACAATCGATATCATCATATCACAAATCATATGAAATCGATTTATAACCTCAGATTATCAAATAATATTGATTGATTAAACGACACGAGAAATGAAAACTAGAACACAAGAACAATCGATCATGAAAAACATTGAGTCAATAGTACAAGAACAAGATGCGTGTGTACAAGTCAAAAGTATGAACAAAAACGTGTAGACTCATACAAACTGGATCTTACTTGTGACTTTGGGCTAAAACGTGTTTGATGAACAGTAAGTAGATATTGGAGTGAACACGAATTGATGAACAGTAAAGGATTTATGAATTTGGATCAAAGCTTTGGGTTTAAAAACTATTTGAATCAAATTTGAAGTTTGGTCTTAGATATTGGATCAATGAACAGTAGACGCAAATTTGATTTTGTTTTTAGTTAGAATTGGTCGTAATTTTTTTTTTTTGGATCGTCAATGGGGTTTTCAAGAAAAATTTGATCCAACGAATCAAACGATCAAAAATTAAAAACGCAACACACAATCCAACAAAATTAAGGGAGATCATAGAGAGAGACTCACCAAAAATGCTTCAATTGTGACAAATGTTGCCAAACCAAGAACCGTTCTTCAAAAATCACCTTGATCTTGAAGACCCGCTCTGATACCAATGGTAGTGACATAAGAACGTGATTTGGAATGCGGAATTAAAGATTGCACAATGAAAATGGTGATTTGGGTGTTCAAGAGATGTATTGATCGTATATGGTGTTACACAAAAATGATCTAGATCTAGACTACATAAATAACACACTTACACACTCAACTTTTACATCTCTCAAGCACACCTCTACAAGTGGTATGAATCCACCTTATATAGAGGTGTTTACATGTCTCTCTCTCACTCTTTATCTCTCATGTGTCACAAGGGTAATACTCCACATGCAAGTGGGTTTTACAAAAGTCAAATATTACAAAGTCATTCATGGAAAACTTTGCACACTAACACATATGTAATGTCTCTACACTCTAAATAAAATCAAAAGTATTAATACCTTATGCAACTTAATTCTTATCAAACAGTTTAAACCCCTAAAATAACATCTTATAGTCTTCAAAATAAAAACTGAGGTGTTTAATAAACTAGACTGATGCACCTCCAACTTTGATGTGTGAATTAATATGATTCAGAAACAAAGAGCATATATATGGCTATTTGAATTAATATGTTTATATCAATATTGTATGCAATTTAACTCTCATCTAACAATTTGAACCTCAACAATAGAACATTATATCTTTATAAAAAAAAAGTGACATGATTGTTTAAAGAGCCCCAAATTAGCAACAAAAAGCTTTTCAGATATGAAATTATTTATCACTAGATCTAGTATAAAATATCAGCATTAGTGAGCTTTTTTTTAAATGTTATATTTTTTAAATTAACAAGCCACAAACACCATTATATATTTGTTCAAACTGACAAAAACTTAATGGCTCGCTCAAAAATAGATAAGCTCTAAAAAAAGCAAAACCTTAAAAGACCAGGTCACATGTTTCAAATATATGTATTAATCTATTGCAAAAGCAAAACCTTTCCATTGCACCTTATCCTAACTCAATCGCAATAGATTTCTATTGCATAAGCTTTGCTGATGAACATCGTAGGTGTTAAATTGACAAGGAATTAATTAGACCATGACTTCACTGATTTAGAATCTAACACTGCTCTAGCAAAATCCTAAGTTTGGAATATAACACCCAAAAGTACTTCACGAAAATTGAGATGTCTTACAATCTAGCTTCAATAGTTCAGAAAGATTTACAGAAACGGAACCTCACCAGGAAATTTAGTGTTACTACAAAATGAGTATATATGAGACGTAAAATGTGCTTTCATAATTCATAGTTACCTACCTACGCGATGACAAAAAGGTCTGAAGCGGCAATGATACAAGACGAACTAATGGCGACTACACCGGAATTGAGGATGACTGAAAATTAGAAAAGCGAACGGCGGTAGGTCTTCAAACAAACGGCTACTCAACGAGGAAGGGAGACGACAAGAGACGAGAATGTTTTTCGGTTCACAAGTTTTCTTAGAGGGTGGTTGGGAGTGATTTTTATACTTAAAAGTGTTTTTTTAGAAAAGTGTTTATTGGCTTATGACTTTTTTCTAAAAGCTGTTTTAAAAATGTGATTGGATTAACTTTTAAGGTGGTAAAAGCTAAAAAGCCAATAAGTTGTTTTTTAAAAAAATGTTTGGCTTAACTTTTACCTGTAAAATGACCAAAAAGGACATGTTTTCATATTCAACATTTTTTAAACATCTTTTTTACAAAGTATATAATATAACTTGTTTAAAGATTTTGTTTACCATATAATATTAAAATTACGTTCATACAAAAGTAGATTACAAATGCTTAATAATTCATAAAAGATATCATATGTTACGTCATATTACATTCATCTCCGAAATTCCATTATATCTTGCGCAATAATATCTCGTATCGCTGCCATATACGAGCTATCATTACTCAAGTGATGTGTACTTGGACCTTCTTCGTCACCTTCACTACTAGTACGATTGTGTGCAGGAATGTAGGATTCTTGTTGTGCCCTATTAAATGCTTCATCAAACCTATCGGTCTTTCTAATATAGTTATGGATTGCCATCGATGCAATCACAATA